TGTCTAAAACATATAGAATCCAGTGAGATTCTATATGTGATTCCAGTCACAATTATTGTTTTCTTGGCTACAACACTTTTCAGTCTTTATGAGATTACTTGCTGTCTTTGGGAGACTGTTGTGCTCTCTGTGGATAAGTCTTGATTTTGAAATTAGGCTATAAATATACAGCACTTCACAAAGAAGAACTCAAAATTCTTTTATAATATGTTATTCATCCTTTTAACATCTGAAGTACTGTGATTTAAAAAAATTAGTCTTTAGAATACTCTTAAAAATGTTACTAATCTTCACCTCGGTGTTTGAGGTGGGGAGGGAGGGGAGATGGATGCCTGGGTTCATGGTGAGGGAGGAATGGATGTCTAGGTTCAAGGTGAGGGAAAGATGCATGCCTGGGTTTGGCACAGCTGCTGCAGCTCTTCACAGAGCCACAGTCTTGGATAGCTTTCTCTGTGTACACATCACTCCGATATCCAAGAGAAAAAGGAAACTAGGATGTTTGGGTTGGTGTGTTGTGGAGCTTGAGCTGTGTGGGTGAGGCACACATCACATGCACATGAAGATGAATTAGTGATTATTTTGCACGAGAAGCACAATGATGTTTAGCCGTTGGGAGGGTGATCTTGACAGATTATTCATTAAACTCTTGTAACACTCCAGTGGACATTGCCAGTGGCCTTTCTGGGTCTTATTAAGTTGAGGTGATGCAGGGATTTTAGGAACAGTTGGATCATAGGAGCATGCCAGTCTATGATTACCACAAATAAACCTTAAAACCATGTCCTCTAACACTAAGATTTTCTTGCTAGCATTTATGCCCATAATATCAATATTAGGTTTTCTCATTGCACAACAACCCACATCAAATCCTTAGAGGTACCTTAAAAAGATATTACAAGCTGTAACATTAATTTAGAAAAACTGAACAAACCTCCCATAATCACAACACAAAACTTGGTCCTTCCCTATGTAGTGGTGTTTCAACTATTTGAGATGGGCTAGACATTTGAATTCTTTTTTGTCTATTAAGCAATATTGGTTATATAGCTTTATTTTCCCATAGTCCTAAATCAAACACAAAATTTACCCCAGATTTTTTGTATAACTATTATTTAATAACTTCATAGTGGAAGTGATTTCTATAATCTCAGACTCTCTTACCACTTAACCACAGACCTAGAAGTCATTGCCTAAGCCTTATTGGAAGGCCAGACATCTTAAAGATTAAGGCAAATAGTTTCACTTTACCTTGACCTAGGAAGTACATACTACTGAGGAGGAAACTAGCTTCTACTCTTATAAAAAGGGATTCCCATCAATAGAACTCTACCGATTTAAAGGCATGATAAAGAATGATCAAAACCTAATTTTCCTGACCCAAACATGTCTAGATAATACTTCAGTGGGGAGTAAAATGAGACCATATATAGTTAAATCAAATAAAAAAATATACTCTTGTTCCTCGAGGGAAGGTAGGTGTTCATTGTTTATCTTCTTTATCAGAAAGCATGTAGTGAGGCCTATGATAGCAACTGTGTAAAGAAGAGGCTGCAAATGCCAAGGTATGGCTGGCAATGGTGCTAGCTTCTGAGCAAATGCAGGGAATCAGGCTGATACTGGCCTCTGGCTTTTCCAACTACAGGCTTCCTATGTTAACTTCCACTCTATTTTCTAAGATTCATCAAGACTTTAGCTCCTAACTGCCTTTTGCGTTTCTTTGATTTGGTTGTTTGTTTTGCTTTGCTTGAGTCACCTAATGTCCCAGGCTTAGAGTCGGGAAGCAATTTACTCTCTTTCTGCACCACTATGTTTTCCTGTCTTGTATCTGTACTCTGCAATCAACGTCATACGCTGTAACTTAATTTCTTTGGCTGGCAAGTGTGCCAGTACTATTTCTCAGCACAAAGACTCTGAAACAAAAGTGAACAGAAATGATTCTAAGAAGATAAGTGAGCTACCTGAAATTTCAAGACTTGGGGCATGTTGACGAAGTTATACAGGGACCCTGAACTTACCAAAGCTATAGGCTCTTGGTAGTTGTTATCATCCAGCTGCCCTCAAAGATCCCCTTGCATTTTAATAGGCCAACCACAAAATAGTGAAAGGAATATGGAAAGGCTGCTGCCATTTAGAAGAGTCAGCCTCCTTCAATCTGTCTTGTCACAATCTGTGGGAGTTGAGCACTAGGAAAAAACCCTGAAAGGACTAATGCTCACTCTGTGCAAGCAATGAAGCACAATGGCCTCATACATCCTGTAGCTAATATGCAAAAGCTTTTGTCTAACTCCATTGCATATATTTCTATGTGATTTTCACACAAATCCTGGAATGTGTGTTTATTATATTTACTAATAGGTATGGGAAGTACCAAGAGCTCTAAAGTTTTAACTGGAATGTGTAGCTAATCTGTAGGAAGGTCTTGACTTTGAACTTGGAGTTCACACACACACACACACACACACACACACACACACACACACACACACACACCACTCTTGTAGAGAAAGATTGTTCTATGAAACAGGAACTTTATTGGAAAGATGTGAAAAATTTGGTGCAAAAATGTGCTGAAGGAGAATCAGATAAATGTTACTCTTTTGTAATCAACAACAACATAAATCCAATAAACATGAAGGGCTTTCATGTGCAGTTTTCATTTTGCTTTGCTTTCTTGGAACAGTGGAGGCTCTCCATTTGGGAACGCTAATGGCTGCCCATGGCTACTTCTTTCCCATCTCAGATCATGTCCTCACACTCAAGGACGATGGCACCTTCTACCGATTTCAAGTAAGTGGAAACATACATTCTTTTGCAATAAGTCAGAAGGCTTGAACTTCATCCCTGTGTGTTTACAGATCTTTTGGAAGCTATTACATGGTTGTCTTAGGCTAATTAGAAAGTAATTCATGTTCAGAAGCAGTCTAAAAACACCAATGGGAAAATGTCAAAGTTGACTGTGTAATTATTGAAATTATATTTTAACATAAGAAAAACTTAAGGAAAATTCATGAGATAATTTACTGGAGTCAAAAAAAAAAATAGGGAAGACGTCAGTTGTAAATTGCATTTAGCAAGAAAGAAGTTGAGAGATATAACTAAATTCAGTCCCAGAAAACTCTGTTAATACATAACAAGTATTGCTGATTGGCAAGTCAATTGTCTATGTTTTTAACTCTTCTTGTTTTTGAAGGAAAGTCATTGCTAATACAGGATTATGTTTTTATAGAGTTCTAATTTTTAGAAATGTTTTTTACACTGAAGCTACAAGTAAAATTTAAGACTAAGAAACAAATTCTGGAGGAGCAATTGTTCTATGCTTGCAAAAATAAAAAAATATTATCTATCTTTATAATCAATATGATAAATATCAGTGTGCAAAAAAACCAGTATCAATTAAAAAACAAAACAATAGCAGCAACAACAATAGAAAAACCTCACTCATAGAGGAAATACTGACTGTCTATGGCCACTCTTTTAAGAATTAAGAGTAGAGATAAGAACAAAAAGTATTAGGTTGTACACACACACACACAATGAAACAACACCAAGCAATCAGTGTTCCCTCTGAGAGGCTTCTCAAAAGCAGAGCCCTGTATGAAAGCAGTCTTTAGCTACTTTATTCTCTTGTGGTGTTACTGAAATCCTGGTCCACTTTAATTTCTGGGAAATCAAATCTTCAAACTTCTGTCTCCCACAGAGTTAAGCATAATTGGAGAGGGTAAGAGTGTTCCATATATGTCTTTCCACCCCTCTTAATCTAGTGATTCAGTCTTTTTCTTTCCAAATTCCTACTGTGATTTTGTTCATATGTATGCAGAACTACTATTAGTAGCCTTCTTTATTATACTAAAGTAATTTCAAAGAATTAGGGGCTAATTCAAGATTCTCTGGTGGCCTCAGACTGTGTGGAAAAGGGTCCTCTCCTTAGAACTCAATAACTTATCCACAGCATGCCTTTCTCCATCTTTGAGAGTCAGTCACTCTTGGTAAAATGTAAAGTTATCAGACATTCAGAAAATGGCTGAAGTATTCTCGTTGCACAGAAATGATGAGTATAATTAGTTAATCAATATAATCCATCCACTTTATGTATATCTGAAGCCACTGTTCCTCTAAGTTTTTGTCCATTCCTGTTTCAAGGAATCGAGTTGCTTTGCAGAGCTGTGGTCACCATGAGTCATTGTGCCAGGGTCCCGCTATCAGGGCTACAAAAAAACATGAAATAATGCCATGTAAATTATCTTAATAAGGTGTTTATTCCAGATCAAACTTCCTTTTGTATTTCAGTCAGTGTATTTGCAGAATTTTACAGAGTCAGAATTCTGGCTATTGTTAATCACATCATTATTTTAAATAATGATTTTTTCGTGCCATTTAAAAGTTTACAACAATAAATGAAAGAATATTTTTATGAGTAAACATCAAAGGTTGCTGTCATCATGTTGAATAGTGTTGAAAACTGAATTATGTAATTAGCAGATCCCAGCAAATGATTCACAAATATCAGGAACGATTCTAAACTTTTAAAATCTATGAAAACAAAGAAAGAGATATGATGTATGGAAAGAAGTCACTATCTTTAAACATGGTTCATTATAAATCTTGCCAAACATAATGTTCTGCTTTCAGTCTTCTTTGGGGCTTAAACTGAACCTTTTGTTTGGATTATCCCTTAACCTTATGACCATTTGTGCAAGATGATGGAAAATGAGCAATATTTTAAGTCACTGCTGGTGTTTGCTAAATCTGAACACTGAGAAACTGGTTAGAACATGTAGATAAGAACCTTATATATAATACCTCTCTGCTAGCTTTCTCTAGGTTTAAAGTGCATGTTATCCAGAGTATAGTCTAGGTAGCCCCGGAAGATAAACCCAGTCTGTACACCAAAAAAATCCTACTAAATATTTATGTGTCTAACCAAGACTCCTCTTTTTTCCTTCCATAGACACCCTATTTTTGGCCATCAAATTGTTGGGAACCAGAAAACACAGACTATGGTCAGTGTAATGCTCTTTGTTTTATGCTTAAACACTGAAGTGTATGTTTACCAAGTACATGAATTTTGATGCTTTTATTAATGAGGTAGAAAGCCACAATTCTAGGTATGGATCAATAATGATAATGCCCAACTTTTATGAATTCATTTGGCAAGTCACTAGACTTGATGGCAGCTCTTCTATAGTAGAGTGTTCTCTGCATCTGTTAAAGAAAAGCCCCTCCTTACATTAGAGTGCTAGAAAGCCTCAAGTGGTTATGGTTGGTTTTTCATAGCATCCTAATACTCAGAAGAGTGACAAATGCTTTCAGAGAGCCAGAATCTTTGTTCTCCTTCAGTTCTCCGATTTGGTTATGAAGTTTCATTTTGTTTAAAAAACAAAGAAAGAAAAAATGTCCGGCTCTTCAAACCTCTGCTTTGCTCACTGTTAGCAAGGTATCATTTGATGCTATACCAGAAGGTTATGTTAAGTATGAAAAGGCCACTGTCAAACCAATAAAAATATACAAATGTGTAATAGCAAATTTAATCCTAATAAATCAAAATCAGTGACCTTAAGATAACCCAAGATCAATAATGAAGATTTCAATGAAGCTCTAAAAGGAAAAAAATTGCCCTAGAAAGTGTTCATCTTCATGCATTTTCCTATAGGTGACGCTTTTATGGAACAAGATTGGCAAAGTTTAAGCACTGTGTCTACAAATGTTTATTGCAAACCATTAGGGTGCCTTGTTGTAGAAGATGTTGGCAATTTATAGTGTCTGCCTGACATGCAACATTGAGGAGTTCATAGCCTAAAAAAGAAAGTAGAATCCTACACAAAGAGTTCTGGTAAACTGTCATGTTAATATGCTGTTGGTATGTGCAAAAATGTTATGGAAGTTTAAAAGAATAAAAGATTGACTCTACTTGGTGGTGGTGGTGGGTGCTATCCCAGAATGATTTCATAAAATAACTTGAAACATCTGAGGCAGATTTTAAAGTAGGAAAAAGAAATTATGAAGTTTCTTAGTTATGCTTTTTTGCTGTGAAGAAACAGTATGACCAAGGCAACTTATAAAGAAAGGCACTTTCTTTTGGGGACTTGCTCAAAGAGAATTTGTTTATGATCATCATGGTGGCAAGCATGACATCTGGCAAGAGCTTAGTGCTGGAGCAGTAATTAAGAACTTATACCCTGGTCCACAGCAAGAGGTAACGAGAGAGCAGGGCGGACCTGGTGTGGGCTTTGAGGTTTTAAAAGCACACTTCCCCTACAAGGCCATACCCCCCAATCCTTCCCAAACAGTTCTACTAACTGGGGAACAAGCATTCAAATGTGACCGTACAGTGGCCATACTCATTCAACCCACTACATGTGGTGATGAGACAGGAAATCATTTAAGGAAGTGTCTTAGTTAGGGTTTCTATTGATGTGATGGAGTGCCATGATCAAACGCAAGTTGGGGAGCACAGGGTTTATTTCACATGTACTTCTAGATCTCAGGTTATCACTGATGAAAACCATAGCAAGAACACAAACAGGGTTGGAAGTCATAGAGGCAGGAGGCCATAGAGGAATGCTGCTTACTGGTTTGCTCTACATGGTTTGTGAAGCCTGCTTTCTTTCATATATCACCCAACACCACCATCCCAGGGGTTGCAGCACCTACAGCATACTGGGCCCTCCTACATCATTCAATAATTAAGAAGATTCTCTGTAAGCTTGCCTATATCCCAGTCTTGTGGAAGCATTTTTTTAATTGAGATTTCCTCATCTCAAATGACTCTAGCCTATGCCAAGTTGTCATAAAACTAGTCATCGAAGCAAGAGAGAATAATATAATATGCAAAAGTAGTAAGAAACTTCATAGTATTTTGGCTTTCTTTGGGGCTTCCCCTAGAGAGACATCTTCTGAAGGAAATTGTAGGACCATACTTAGCAACTGATTGGAATTTTCCTTCCTAGTGACCACTGTTGAAACATGAATTTAGTAAGTTACACCAGAGTAGCCAGGTGCTGCAGATGGTATTCAAACATACAGACAGGAAAAACTACTTTATACAATACTGTCAAATTATCAGAGAAACTAGACCATTCTATTACTTGGGCACAAATGCCCATTTCTTCATCTGGTACTCAACAGTCCTCAAAATTGAAACCCTATATTCCATTCTAGTAAAGGAAACACCTCCCAGAGAAATACCTTGCTTCAATGGTTATTATGATAAAAGGCTAAATGTATGCCTTATGCCTTTGAGGAAAGTGTGACATACTTCTGAGTCTCAAATAAGGTTAGAGATTGTGACTTTTTGAAATGATTGAAATAATTCATACTGATATACCTAAGGAAACTGACATCATCCCTAAACATAACCTAGTGATTTTATTGTTCCTCATTATTATTGTCCATCAATAGACTATGCCTCTGCTTCCTGTTATAAAGAGAATTATTTTTTATTCATCTATTTATTATATATCCCTGCTGCAGCCTACCCCCATCACCCCCTCCCAGTCTCTCTCCCTCATTTCCTCCCTCCCACCACAATCCCTTCCTCTTCTGTCTCCATCCAGGAAAGTGCAGGTCTCCTATGAGTATCAATAAAACATGGCATATTAAATTACAGTAAGATTAAGCACCACCATGTATTAATGCTGGCCAAGAAGACCCAGTATGAGAAGTAGCATCCCAATAAAAGAGTAAGAGAGAGCTCTGGTTTCTGCTGCTGGAATCCCACAAAGGACCAACCTACACAATTGAACTATATATGCAGAAGGCCTAGGTCAATCTCATGCAGTCTCCATGGCTGTTGGTTTATTCTCTTTGAGCCCCTGTGAACCCAGCTTAGTTGATTCTGTGAGCCTTCCCATGGTGTCCTTGTGTAGACAGAGGTGCTATTCTGCCCAGTCCCACAACTGTTTAGACCCAAGTAAACACATAGAGGCTTATATTAATCATAAATTATTTGACTAATGATTAGGCTTCTTACTGTCTATCTCTCCCTTAATTATTAACCCATTCTATTAATCTAAGTATTTCCGCATTGTCTTGCCTTATTGGAGAATGCGCACCATCCTATCTTCCCAGTAGATACATGGCATCTCTCTGGTCACTTCTCTCGGCTCTCTCTTCCCAGCATTGGTAGCCCCACCTATACTTCCTGCCTGGCTACTGGAAAATCAGCATTCCTTCATCAACCAATAAGAGAAACATATATTCACAGCATACAGGACATTCCCCATCATCCTTGACCACTCTGGCTCCTACACTCCTTTCTCCTACTCCTCTGCAGGATTCCTGAATTCTGCCTAATGTTTGGCTGTGGGCCTCTACATCTGCATCCATTAGTTGCTGGATAAATGCCTTAAAGAGAATTCTTATCCTTGGTGTTTCTCTCTTCTAATCTTTGTCCTTTTCATTTCGAGGTTACAGTAATCACAATTGCAGTACATGTCTAATGACTTGGTAGCAGATTTATGTTTCCATGGTGTGCCTGAGGAAAAGCCATGATCTCTACAATGAATCACTCACAGAACATGCTTCATAGTGGGCATCCATCATATCTAATGTCCTTTAGCTTTATACTGACTCTTAATGGAATCCACATCAGAGGGTATGCTCTCCTGAATTGTTTCCCAAAGCACAACCAGCCTATTTGTATACTAACTGGAATCATATTGTTAAATTATCCCATTTGTATTTCCCTGATGAATCATATTTTCATTTATTTTGTAGCTAGCTTACTTACTGAACATCAACATAAGGATGTTTAATTATCCATGTCTTGTAGTGGGCTTCCTCGTAATGCCAGCCCCAAAATCATGACATGAAGACTTAATATTAGTTATGAATGCTTGGTCTTAGCTTAGTTAGGCTTGTCCCACTAGCTTTTATAACTTAGTTGAACCTGTTTCTCTTCTTTTGTGTTTTGCCCTGGGGCTTTTTAACTTTCATTCATTCTGTATGTCCTACTTTTCCTGCTTCCTTCATGTCTGGCTGGCTGGGTGCTGCCTGATTGGCTGGCCCTGGGTGTCTCCCTTTCTTTCTCCCTCTCTCTTCTCTTCTCTTCTCTTCTCTTCTCTTCTCTTCTCTTCTCTTCTCTTCTCTCCCGAACCTAGATTCATCCTTCTATTTATTCTCTTTGCCTGCCAGCCCCACCTATCCTTCTACTGCCTAGCTATTGGCTGTTAAGCTTTGTATTAGACCAATCAGGTGCCTTAAGCAGGCAAAGGAACACATCTTTACATTGTTAAACAAATACAGAGTAAACAATATCTTTGCATGTTTAAAGAAATATCCCACAACAATGGCTTATATTCTTAGGTGCAAATAAATGGCTCTGCCAATTTGAATTACTCCAGTCTTCCATTTTCTACTAATATTTATTTAAACTATACTCTCCAAAAATCCCTTCTTTAAAGGGGTATTGGTGTTATGACATGCTTGGGCTTTAAGATCTAAAGTATAGTGACTACTTGAGGCTGTATTTTCTAAGACAACTTGGTACCATAGAAACACAAGAAGTGGTTGTATTTTTTTAACTTTATTGTTTGACATACATTTTCTATAATATCCCAAACAGACCTCAGACTACAATCCATCTGCCTCAGCCCTGAATGCTGAGATTAAAAGCAGGCATTATTACGTGAAACTCTAAAGAGAGTTTTAAAAAGTTTCTTTCACCGTCTTTGCATCTTGACCTCCTTTCCCATCAACAAACTTGAGTTTACTCTCTATGTTTTATAGAATGCAAATCTCTATAGATCAGTCCATATGTCAAAAACATGTTTTCATAGTTATCTTGGCACTATATTGATTGTTTTAACAGCTAAAATTAAGCCAATATGGACCATGTCTACAAGAACTCCATTCTTAGAAAATCAAGGTGGGTGAGAATTTGTTTATTGTTTGTGTAAATACAAAAAAATAATAATCACAATCCCAACCCATTTCTATGGGTACATTTGCATTATTCAGGGTGAGATATGGGTTTGCAGTGAGGCCTGGAGACTGACAGGAC